CATGGTGTCCTGCTCCGGCGTGTAGCGCGTGCAGATCCGCAGGATCTGGGGGGAAAGTCGGGGATTTAGGGTGGAGGGAAGGGGGCGAGGAGCCGGGCAGGGGGGGTGCTCAGCGCCTTGCGGGCACCGTGCGCCCTCCGTGCTCCCCACCCTGTCCCCGCGCCTTGCGGGCACCGTGCGCCCTCCCCGCTCCCCCGTCCCTGTCCCTGCTCCCCCGTCCCCGTCCCCGCTCTCACCAGGATGTCGAGGCAGGCGGCTTTGAGGAGGGTGATCTGGTCGGCGATGGTGAGCGTGGTGAAGCCGGGGAGCTGCTTGGCGAACTCCACCTGTCTTGATGATGCACTTGGTGGACAGCTCGCTGAACTTATCCCACAGGTCGATGTCCAGGGACACCCGCTGCCCGAGCTGTTGTTCTGCGGGACCCCGCCGCGGGGAGGGCAGATTAGGGGGCGAGGGGGTGTCCTGGGGGGGGTGGTCCCAGCTCCCCCAGCCCCCTCCCCGCGGCGGCACTCACCGTAGTGTATTTGCCGAGCTGGCACAGGGCGGGGAAGGTCTCCTGGTGGGCTTTGCGCACCTTCTCCACCAGCTCCTCCACCTCGGGCGTGATGATGTAGCTCTCCGAGCACTCCGCCTTGGGCACGTCCTTCTTCTTCTTGTTCCTGTCGTTGCGGACGGCTGCGGGGATGGATTTTTAGGGTCAGCGCCACCCGCACCCAACCCCGGGACCCCCCCCCCCATCACCATTGCCACCCGCCCGCCGGATCCGCCGCGCTGACAAACGGCCGGCGGCGCGCGGCTTCGCTTTAAAAAAAAATTAAAAATTAAAATAAAAGGCCTGCAGTCATTAGAGGCGATTAGGGGCGACACCGCATCCGTCAGGCGGGGGGGGGGGGGGCTGCTGGGGTGGGGGAGATCGCTCACAGCCATGCAGCGAAATCCAATAAAGCGGAGAGGAGAGGGGGGGGCGCCGGGGTAACCGGGGGAGGGGGAACCGCAGCCGTGACACCGCGTTCATCACCGCAGGCAGCTGGCAGAGGGGGGGGACACCCCCTGTAGGTGCCGTTGGAGCCCCCCCGGGGTGCTGCCCCCAAGCCCAGCAGTGCCCCCAGCCCCGGGTGGGGGTCCCCCAGCGCACGCAGATGGGGCAGGGCTCTGGGGGTGTCCACGGGGGGCCAGGCGAGGCAGCTGCGCCCCCCTCCATGCACAGCCAGCATCGCCCCCCATTTATTAACCCCCCCCCCCCCCATGCTGCGGTGTGCGGGGGGGGTGCAGCCGGGCACCATGACAACTGGCACGCAGACGCCAGGAGGCCTCATCGGCGTCATTTATCTCTGACATCATCATCATCACCGCGTCGCCCGGGCAACGGGCGGGCGCTGACACAGCCCCCGGGGGCTCCCCCCCTGTGTCCCCCCCCTCCCAACACCCCCTCGCTGGGGGGGGACACCAAGGGGGCGGCTGGGATTGCCCACGGCACACAGGGTCCCCCCTGGCTGCATCCAGGAGGGGGATCACCCCATCCCCGTCCCAGTTCCTGGCCCCATCCCGGTCCCCGTCCCCATCCCAGTCCCTGTCCCCATCCCCGTCCCCCCGTCCCCGTCCCGTCCCACCCCGCACTCACACTCCTTGGACATGCCGACTTCGAAGCACTTCTGCAGGCGGCAGTACTGGCACCGGTTGCGCGTCACCTTGTTGATGATGCAGTTCTTGTCCCGGTGGCACGTGTACACCATGTTCTTCTGGATGCTGCGGCGGAAGAAGCCCTGGGGACCCCCGCAAGGCCCCGTCAGCGCCCGGAGGGGCACAGCACGTGGCTCGGCGTGGCACGGCACATGGCATGGCACATGGCATGGCACATGGCACGGCACGGCACAGCGCGTGGCATGGCGCATGGCACAGCACATGGCATGGCATGGCACATGGCACGGCATGGCGCATGGCAGGGCGCATGGCAGGGCTCATGGCACGGCATGGCACAGCATGGCACAGCATGGCACGGCATGGCACAGCCCCCCCGGGCCAGCCAGGTGCTCACCTTGCAGCCCTCGCAGGCGCTCACGCCGTAGTGGTACCCCGAGGACTTGTCCTGGCAGACGAAGCAGGCTTGTAGATGCGCGGCAAGGGCGGCGGCGAGGGCGGGCTGGGCACGATCTCCTCCGAGCTGGTGCTCTGCGTCTCCACGGCTGCGGGGAAGGAGAAACGCTCAGGAAAAGGGGACCCCCAAGTTGGGAACCCCCCCTGAAACAGCCCTGCTGTGCCCCCATCCTGCTGGCCGGCCGTGGGGACGGGTCACCGGGGCCTCCCCAGCTCGGCACGGGGCCGGCGGGGAGAGGAGGCGAGCTGGGAAGATGCAACTTGACATTTCCAGGCCACGGAGAGCCGATGTGGAATTCAGGCAGACAAAAAAAAAAAAAAAAAGAAAGAGAGGGGAAAAAAAAAAAAAAAAAAAAAGAAGAGAAAACCACATCCCAGGAGCCCCCCGCGCCGCTTTGATCGCGTCTGCAGGGAGCGCGGCAGCCTCGTGGCCCCCCCCCACCCCCAAGCCTTGCACGGGAGGGGCCCGGCGCCGCACACTCGCTCGCACGTGCGGGCACGCACGCGTGCAGGGGCCGAGGGGGGGCTGCAGGCGTCGCCCACCCCCCCTCGGGATGGGACAGCACCGTCCTCATCCCACACCCCCCCCCCGTGTGCTGCAGCAGCCCCGGCTGCGTGCGCCAAATCCTGGTGGCGTGCGCCCCGTCGCCTTGGGCACCCCCGGGACCCCCCCGAAACCCCCCCTGGCTGTTGCCACCGGGGCGGCCAGGCACGGGTTAAGCTCTCCCCGGCTCCTCAGGATGTTTGCGAATGTTTTTCGTCAGGGCCGAGCCAAGTGAACCAGTCAGACAGGATATTAAAGGCCGGGCCCGGCGGGGGAGCCCAGCCCCGCGCCCCAGCCCCAGCCGCTGCGCCCCACAAAGGGCCCCGCGGCACCGGGATCGCCCGGCGGCACCGGGTGCTGTGGGACGGGACAGGACTGGGGGGGGGCTCAGTGCCACGTGGAATCGGCGTGGGGGGGTCGTGGGAGGTGAGGGGGGGCTGCACCCCAATGCCACAGATTGGTGGGAAGAGCACAGGGGGGTCCCCCAACCCCGGCGCGGCACCAAAAGCGGGTCCCGCTGGGTGCCGGCGGCACGGGGCGCACCACCAAGGTCGGGGGCGCACGCGGCACCGAGGACAAATGGGGGGGGCACAAATGGGGCCGAAGCCACCCAGAAAGCCAGCGTGTGTCCCCCCCACCCCCAGCCACGGCACGGCTCGACCTGGCTGCCGAGGACACGGGGACGGTGCCAGCACCATGGGACGCTGCCAGCACCACAGCGCCGGGGTGGATCACGGCTTCCCCCGGCGCGGGGCTGGGGTGGGGGGGCCCCATGGGGGCCAGGGGCTGGGTTCTTTGGGGTGTGTGTGGGGGGTGGAGGTGGAGGGGGGGGGACACGGCCAGGGCTGAGCTTGGCGGGTGGCAGGGAATAAATCCCCGCTGCCACTCGGAGCGGAGCCATGAAGGTGACGGCGCGCGCGGCGTCCATAATTGATCGCCTCTTTTCTATAATTTAAGAACTTCCCCGCGGGTTTGATGGGCTGAGCGCAGGGGAAGGGAGAGGGGGGGGGGCGAGGTGGGAGCCCCCCCCCCCCCCCGTCCCTGTGTCTGTCCCCCCCCGCCCCGAAGCACTGCGGGAATCCCCGGCCACCCGCCACCACCCGCAACGGGGACACGGCAGCGCCAGCGGGGAGGGGACCCACGCGCCCCTCCCTCGCTGTGCTGTCAGGCCTTGAAGGGGGGGGGCAGAGCAAAAAAAAATAATCCCCCCCCCTCAAAAATAAAGGCTGAGCACACAGGATGGGCACAACCCCCCATCTCACTCCCATGGGGTGGGGGTGCATGCAGCCAGGAGGGGCTGCTGGGGACACCGGGGTTGTGTCTGTGTCCCCCCCCCCCGCCTCCGCTGCCCCTGAGCAGGGGGGGGCCCGGTTCTTCCCCCCCCCCCCAGCAGCAGTAAGAGAGGAAGCGGCCCCCAGCTGCTCGCCAGATGCTGCAGCTCCCGAGCATCCCCGGCGGGTGAAGGCGCCCGCCTCCGCCCCGCGGCCCCCACCGGCCCTGGGGGGCAACCCAGACCCCCCCCCCCCAGGACACCCCCACCCTGAGACCCCCACCCCAAGCGTGGGAAAGCGCCCACACGGCCGACAGACGGACGGACGTCGCGCCCCATCGCGGGGGTGGGTGTCCGGAGGGGGCACCCGGTGGGGTACGGGGGCACCGCACAATAAATGGGGGGGGTCAGGAGGGTGGGGGGGGGCTCACTGGGTGCCCCCCACCCCCGTGCCATGGGGCTGAGCCCCAAAGCGAGGGGCCCGGTGGGCGCCCGCCCAGGCTGTCTGCAGATAAGGCTCCCGCATGCCCCAAATTCCTGGGGAAGGGGGGGGGAAAAAGGGGGGGCAGGAGCTGCAGGGTGCCCAGCCCCAGGCACTGGGGGGGGCCCAGTTCTCCCAGTAACCCCCCCACCCCAGTGCCGGGGTGCCCCCCCACCCTGTGCCACCGGCCGTCCTGGCTCACCGAGGTGACAGCGGGGGCCACCCCACACCCGTGGGACCCTATAACCCCCCCCCCCCCCAGCAGGACACGGCCCCCCCAGCAGGACACAGCCCGAGGTGCCCCCCCCCGCACCCTGGGGACCCGCCTCGTGCCTCAGTTTCCCCCGCCAGCGCCACGGCCCGTGCCAAGCAGACGGCGCCGGGGCCAACCCCAGCCCTGGGGGAAACTGAGGCACAGCCTGGCTGCCCCCCCCACCCCCCCCTTTTAATTGTCCCCCCCCCACGGCACCGCGGGCTGGGGACACCTCGGTGACGTCAGGAACGGGGCGTCCGGCCAAGGATCCCGCTGGCCCACGGGGTCAGGGTCACGGTGACCAAAGCCCGGAGATGCCCCCCGGGGCCGGCAGTGGTCACGGTGCTGGGGGGGGGCCAAAGGGGGGGGGCCAAAGGGGGGGGCACCGCAGCCTCCCGGTGCTGCCGGCACCGCCACGCAAAACCAGGGGGGAAAAGAGGGGATGGGACCCTCCCCCCATAAGGGGGATCAGGAGATGGGGATGCCCTGAGTGCTCCGGGGGGGCCCTAAAGGTGGCCCCCCCCCAGCCCAGAAAATGTGTGCCGGGAGCCCCCCAGCCCCGGCCCCCGCGGCAGCCCCGGCTGCAGACAAAGGCCCCTCGCGCCGCGCTCGCCGCCGATAAGAGCGGAAAGGTCGAGACAATGGGGCAGCCACTGCCCCCCCCCGCCCCAAAATACGAGGGGGGGGGCCACAGCCAACAGGACCCCCCCCCCCGTACCCCAAAGCACCGGGTGCTGCTGCAGGGAGGGCAAAGCGGCGGCACAGAGAGGGGCGCGATGCTCTGTGTGTCCCCCCCCCCTCCCAAAAAATAGGACCGAAGCAGCCCCCCCCCCCCCAGCCCTTATCGGGGGGGGGGGAAAGTCCCGTGGAGCACTGCAGGACTTTTCCCGAGCCCTTATCAGCGGGCATGGCACCGGCCAGGGTGGCTGGGTGAGGGGGGGGGGCACACCATGGGGCCCCCCCCCAACCCAGCACCCACCCCCCCCCCAGCCCCAGCAGCCCCCTCGCACACGTGCTGGAGGCACAAGCAGCGCTGCCCCCACCCCTGCCTGCTAAAAGCACCCCCCCCCGGCACCCAAGGGACACAGAGGGGCTGTGCCCCCCCCCCCCCAGGACCCTCAGGACCCCCCATTTCAACCCCACGCAGGGCAGGGGAGCGGGGTCAGGGAGACCCCAACCCTGCAGGGCTGGGGGGGCGAGGTGTGAGGGGGGGGTCCCCACTGCCAGATTTAGGGGGGAGCGAAAATCCAGGGGGGGGCAGCGCTGCTGCTGGGGGGGCCCTGCTCATGGGAAGGGCTGGGGAGGGGGGCAGCTCCTGGCCCCCCCACCCCCCTCCCCAAACTCGCCCAGCCCATGGGCCCCCGAAATAGGGCAAGGGTTTATGGCCGAGCTGGCGGCACCCAGCGCCCCCCCCCCCCACCCAGCACCCCCCCCGCGAGCTCAGCACCCCCCCCCGAGCTCAGCACCCCCACTGCCCAGCCCCCCCCGCACCCAGCGCACAGCCCCCAACCCCCCCTGACCCCCCCACCCCCCCCAAAATCCTCAGGACCCCCTCCCCATCCCCAGCAGCCCCCAGAACCGTGGGGGGGGGAAATTCCAAGAAGGGGGGGGGGGTCCCAGGAAAGGAAGGGGGGGGGGATCCCAAGAGGGGAGGGGGTGTTCCCGTGGGGGGGGGGGGGTCGCGGTACCTACAGCGGCCGGAGCTGCTCCAAGGGGGGGCGCGGCGCGGAGCCCCCCGTGGCGGGGGGGGGCCGCTGTCCGGCAGGAGGCAGCCCCGGGCCGGCCCGTAGAAATCCATGCGGAGGAAGGGGCCGGGGGGGGGGCAGCCCCGCCACCCCCGCTCCCTCGTACATGGCCCGGGGAGGAAGAGGAGGAGGAGGAGGAGGAGGGGGGGGCGCGCAATGGGGGCCCCCCCCCTCCCCTTCCCCCAGCTCTCCCGGCCGGGAGTAGAAGAAGGAGGAGGAGGAGGGGGGGGCGACGGCGGCGGCCCCGGGGGCTTTCAGAGCCCCCCCCCGGGCCGAGAGGGCCCCCCGGGCGCCCCTCGCATCGCTGCCACCACCGTGGCCCCCCCCGGGCGCAACCGGGGGAGCTGGGGGGGGGGGGGCCGCCGGGGGGGGGGGCGCACCCGGAGGAGCCCCGGCGGTGCGCGCTGTGCGCCCTGAGCGCACGGGCAGGGGGAGGAGAGGGAGGAGGAGGAGGAGGAGGAGGAGGAGGAGGGAATGGGAGGGGGGAGGAGGA